TTGAAGTGATTCAGTGTTGGAAAATGATAACATCAAAAAAGTATATGGAAAAAGGATGGCTGAAAATGTAAAAATTGATAGTAAGGATTTCTTCAAGTACATTAAGGGTAAGCAAAATGTTAGAATATGAATAAGGCCTTCGAGAGGTGATGGTTATGGGATGACTGAGTTATTATTATTTTTTCTTTGGTTTTTACTGAGGAAGATTTAAGCAATATTTGTCATCCTGAACAGTTGGTAGATGGAAACATGATTGAACAAGATGATCACATTAATTCTGAGATTGTTAAGAAAAAATTGGGAGGTTAAAAGAATGATAAATCGTCTGGGCCAGATAATATTTATCCAAGGGTTTTGAAAGAGGTTAATGATTGGATATGCGAGTCACTTGCTACAATTTTTTCTAAGTCTTTGAATAGTGGGCAGGTGTTAGAAGATTGGAATTTGGCTAATGTTACTCTTTTTTTCAAGAGAGGTGATAAAAGTTATCCCATTAATTATAGACCTACTAGTCTCACATCAGTGGTGCGAAACGTTTTTGGAAGTCTAATAACATATGCTTTTCTATATTTAAAATTCCAGATACTAAACTTTTTATTACAAAAAAAACAGAAGTTTCTGCATTGAGATGTTTATTTGATTCATTTTACTGTTTTATTGTAAACAGTTGAGATTCTGGATAAAAAATAGTGTGAAATTGGAGGAGCTATCATTAACAACAGGACTAATACTGTCATCAGCTGATTTTGAAAGTTTTACGAGTGGTGACATAGATAATAATGCATTATTTTTTGTATTACTTCTAAAGAAAGAGAAAAGGCCTTCTTATTTACTGACATCACAAACACAATGATGCAATTAGCAAATTCATGACAAATAGTACTTTTAAAGATCCACTAAATAGTCTAATAGTATTCTCTTTTAATATTATCCTTTTGAAATTTAATACTGTCCAGGTCTGAAATAAAATAAAATGCAAACATTACATACAAATTTTACTGTAAAGTGGAAACTTAAGTCACTTGCACAAATATAACTTTTGTGTATTTATAACACATAATCAAGTTTTAATATACTTATTTTATACAAACAGTTCTCACATATGATGTAAAAATCTATCATGATCAAATTCAAAAGCACAGCAAAAATATTTCCACATAACATTGATTTTAATGTATTGTAAATTTGTACAAGCAAACTTCTTAATTAATAATGGTAAGTGCTACTTCCTTCTTTTACATGTACATAGTCTAGAATATCAATTATGTAATATTGCATAAATTAATTGTGAATGCAGTAAATTGTTTAGAATGTGTGTGTGTAAATATATGTGTATAGTTTTATTTATTTTTCATTTTTACAAAATCTTTTTCCATCACTTTGTCAGGACATTCCTTAAATATTAATGCAGGACCACAAAGTGTTGGTATAGATTATAAGATTATTTGATTTGATGTAACTGAGAAGTCATCGACAATTATTTGAGAAATCTGATAATCATCTTGGAGTGATAATAATAATTTTCTATTTGAAGATAAGGAATCTTATAAATACTGATAAATGTAATTTGTCTCTCACTAGTTTAAGCTTATTGTTTTGTCTTTCTGTGTTTATTTTTTATGTATAGCCAAATTCTTTTGATGTGAGCTTTAGTTCACTAGGATGAAAATTTTCTGAGCAGTTAAGTGGAGATTATCGTTATGAGTTAAAGGATTTTAATTGCAATTATTCTCTTAGCTAAACCTTAGAAAGAGGTAGAGAAAAAAAATGTGTATATCTCTAATAGGATTATTCAATTATGTGGAAATTATACATGTGTTTAATCTTATCAGTATAATAAATACAGAAGATTAAGTATGTTATACTAAAATGATTTTGAATGTGCAAATAAGCAAGTCACTTGTGAACTGTAGCTGATATACAATCATGATGGAATGTATCAGAACTACATTTTGACACAGCTTGGAATTTTATAGGTAGCATGATGCCACAGAAAATGTATCGCTTTTGGAAAGGGTAGGTAACAGCCCTTTTCAACAAATAATATTTTTACACTCAGATCATAAAGATGTATTCAGATTGGAAATTTCAAATCTTTAAGACTGGAAGATTCCTTGAATTTAATGACATTGGAAAACAAAGGAATATTGGTTATCTTAAGAAATCAAGACCACCCAGAAAGAGACCTACAACAAGTCATATCTTAGCCATGGTAAGCAAAGTTAGGTGTCTTGTAACAGGTGAGAATCCATGAACAAAGAGATACCAAAAGCCATACATGTGACCCATACAACATAATCAAGAAGGAGTTCTGCATGGAAAAGTGACATAAATTGCTTTCATGACATACCCATTCATACAGCTGGAGAATGCAAAGGATATTCATGCTATTCTGTATGAAGACATTCATATCGAGTCACCAAATGCAGTGCCTATAGATTTCCCTGTGATCAGGCTGGTAAGAAACTGCCATCTTCCTGCACTAGATGGATTATGGAAAGTTAGCAGGTAGAAGTGATGTACATTGGACATGGAGGCCTTATGATGGAGCCTTGTGCAATGGAAACTATGCCGCAGGGCTATTGTTAAGATGCATAATCACCAGATAGAACATGAAGATGTGGTAACATGGACTATAATGGCGTAGTGAGGATCCACAGTCATTTTAAAATAATCAGAAATCTGTAGTTATGTATGCTTCCCGAAACTTATACCAAGAAAAATCATAAATTCTCTCTTATTTAGGTAAACAATATGTGTTAGAGAACATGTAATAGAATTTGAGTTTCTCAGTAATTGTTGAAGGATGTTTTTTTATAATAAAGAAAAAATGTCATTGTAAGACCTGTTGAACATGAATCATACCATTACGTCTCATCATCATTTAACTGTGGGTGTTAGAAAAAGAAAATTATCACTGTGCTTTTCAAAACTTTGAACTATTTCACATATGAGTAGGTAAAGTATATATGATAAGTAAACAAAACCAAGAAACTATTTATATGTTATAAAATGAAATTGTACCAGAAGTAACATAAGCCATTATGATTATTTGAATATTATTTAATATGATGATGGCTTATAGTAGTTGGAGGTTTAGAATAATGAGCTATAATTTCCAAATTTTGTATTGTTGTTTTAATAACATCAATAAAATAAACATGTAACAGGTAGCAAGGTATTTAATTAGCTTAGTCATAAGTTTACAAGTTTGACTTCTTACATTTAGTATTTTGTACAAATGCTCTGTGGGAAAAGTACAATAATTCTTATGGATAAACTTGAGTTATGTGGGTTTTTTGTCAGATTTACTGATATTTTGCCTAAAACTTTATAATACTCACAAACTTATAGTAGTTTGCTAATTTATATTGCAGAATTAAAAGTTTCTGAGTACCACTCTTTGGAAATTTTTTCTTCTTTTCAGAAATAACACATACATTCCAATCATAAGTTATGATGAAACAATGCATTATAATTTCTGTAAGTAATATAGAGATTTGTTTATTCTGCCATATTGGATGTAAGAACAAACTAGTGAAATAAAGGTGAACCTAGCAGTTAAGTGCTAAGAACTGAATCATGCAATAATGCAAATTGGTTGTGTTGCTGTTGGTTGTACAAAGTACAGTTCTGACTTTTGGTCATCTTTGTTGCTAATGTACCTTCAAGACCTGGCCCTTGAATTGAACTGCAACCTAAATACTCAAAGGTATGTCATTCACAACGACTGTCCAACATATTTGTATTGTACTAAAAGTATTTTCTTTCAAACAATGGAAATAAAATGATTATTAATACCAGCACCACAAAGGCATCAAGTTATGGACTTGAACAGGGAACATTTTTTGATACAAACCCAGACAAGCCCATCTAATATAATACTCCATCTCAGTCCACAATTATGAATGTGGGCTGAAATATAGCATTAATACATAAACTCTTTTTTTAATGTGTGAAGTACTGGTAATTTAACAACCATATTAGCCCACATACACATTACCAAATTATATTATCTCAGAAACCATAAGTATGATTTAGGAGCCTGTAGCTGATGCTTTGCAGTGCTTCTTTCATGAAAAATTTTAATATTTGGAAAGAATCATGCATTTAAAGCTTTACTAGTATAGGGCCTATAAAATTCAAATATAGATGTAATGTAACATTATAATCCATGTGTTATGTCGTTAAACAATTAGATCTAGATTCTAGGCCTAATACTAATAGATCTAGTAAATGTAAGGAATGTTAGCAAACAACCTCACAAACAAGTCCATTTTCTTTAAATTTAGAATAATATCAATCATCAGCACACATGAAATACTGCTAAGCAAATAAAGGTGATTAATTAGAACTCATCTAGGTTCAGTTTAACAGTTTTTGTACCAGTTGTTTACCTTCAAGTAGATTACAAAAACTGACAAGTCATACACCTTCCACAGTCTGACACTGTGCACACAGCCTGTCACAAAGGATTTATTGTCATCTAAACTTTGTATGCCTTCAATATGAGGCACAGAAAATATCTGGATATTCCATGTTGGGAATGTCCATAACTTGTCTCTGTTTGTCAATATGACTAATGAAGCGGCATTGCTGGGGGAATAGAGTAAGGTCAGTCTAGCCATTCCAAATTGCTATTTTACCTTGTACCAATATTTAGATGGTTCATCTAAATCCTTTGTCAAAGCACTAAGTGCAGATAGCCTAGTTGGTTTGTGCCATAAAATGCCAATCAAAGTGCTAAATGCAAAGTTTTCCTGTATACAATGTAACATTACACTTGGGAAAATTGTCATGTTTATGTCCAAATCAGCAGGTGGTAAAACTTGTTCCTCTTTTATTCACATGACTGCATAACTGCTATTGTAAGAAAAGTATATTTAATTAGCTTTACTTATTACCAGGTTGATTTTTAGTTTTGATTTAAGTGGGTAGCTTGCTTTGATCACAAGTTAATATTAATTACTCATGCTTTGTTGTTTTACTCTTTCATACAGATGTTTGCTCACATTGTAACCATGTGATTGCTAGTCATGAGTACTGTTTCAGGGTGGATGGTGATTTTCAGGTAAGATGTCCAAAGTACATTGTCAAAATTACACAGGTATAATGTGTGTTATTTTGTAAGATCAGGATATATTCTATAGATTGTAAACATATAAAGTAGGTTTCTGACATATTTTCTGGTTAGAAAGTATATCAGTGTAGCCTAAGCAAGAACTAAAATCAGTGAATTTGTATAGAACCTTTGCATTCTTCATTTTATAAGATTCAAAGAATTTTATGACACTTGCACTAAAATATATGAAATAGGTTATAATAATCACTATGAAAATAATGTGTGAAAGAAAATTATTTCAGAGAAATTACTTTGATTATAACCCTAAGGCTTCCTATATCCCCTTACCCGGACATCGCTTGGGACCTAAGTGATCTTCAAACCATTTGTCCAGTTAATGATGTGGTAAAGTTTCTTTAAATTACATACCACTCACCACAACAAGAGAAAAATTTACATAATCATGCAAGAAATCAGAAAATTGTAATTTGGTAAATTACACCTTACTCACTATAATAAGTGCAGAGAAGAAATTATGAAATCTTCCATAACTGTCCAGATCAGGAAACCAAAATTTAATTTGGAGTGTTTCAGAATTATGAATAAAAAACACTACAAAAGAAAGAAGTTACAATCAGTGTAAGCTATCACCATCAAAATAATTCTATTTTATTATTAATGACTGACAGAAGAACATTATCTTCAAATGTCAATGGTTTAACAAGCAAGTCGTTATGCACACCAACTCGAAGTTTACAAATGAATCTTGATTTGACAGAAAAAAAGAAATAGCACCCTGGTTTATTATTTATACAAGTTCTCACTAACAAATTTTATATGCAATACAGTTGAGATATTTGATTGTACCACATTTGGACATGTTTATTTTGAAATCAGTTGTATAAATGAAACATTGATGCTGTTGATAGTAAAATAATTCACTTGTTTACTACACATTAATGTTTGCTGTTTTTTGATGGTATGTTAATTTATACATCATAGCCTCATTCTGTACTTGACTTTTGAAATTAAGATCTATTTACTATAATCAAATCCAAATCGATTGATATTTATCGGTTTAGGATACTTTGACAAAAGTTTAAAGTAACTTAAATTATTTCAGAAGCAACATACTGACTAATAGTATTGATAACTTTATATTTGTAATTAATTTTATAAATGGTAGTTCTTTTTTTTCTTCATTGAAAACTACTTTTAAATTCTGATTGAAGCATTTTTACTTTTTTTTTGTCTCACATTGAGTCATTTATGTTCCATCTTTTGTGAAATTGTGACCTTAAATGAAGATTAATTTGTTTACATGGCATACAAGAATGTTATGACAGCAGTAATAAGTTTATTTAAATATCTTTAGCTACCCATATATATATGTATGTATGTATGTATGTATGTGTGTGTGTGTGTATATATATATATATCTATTTCAGGAATACGAGATGGACTGTATGCTGTGTGGTAGAGGTGAAGATGTAGTAACCATTCTTCCTGATGATATGCGTATGGAACAAGAATTATGATCTATTCATATTGGTATACTTAGAAAGTATGCTTTCAATATATTAAATGCTTCTATTGAAAGTATTATGTGGTCTAGATGCTTGCAAAAGGTATTTAATAGCCACTAACTAAAGATAAGTAAAAAAACAATCATGAACAATGTCTTCTTTAATCACTGGTACTATATTTAATAGCCAATATTATGTATAGTACCAGGGATTACAGAAGACATTGTTTATGATTATGTTTTTCAATTGCCTTTACTCATTGTGCTTGACTTCTTTAAAATGGAATTAACCATTTATTATTGGGAGTATGCTCTATATCTATTTTAATGGGCACCAACTAACATTTGGACAATAATTCAAACATTAAATTTAAGTAACTAGAAAGGTAATTATATAGTTATAGTCATGAAATAAGTAGAAATCACTATAAAAAAGGATGAAGATATATGATAGGTTTAGACCTTTGAGTGTTAACTTATTAACAGACCAATTATAGTTGCACATTGAATCTGGGAATAGAGTATGAAATACTCTAGGATTGTTCTGTATCACTGTAAAAATAAAGTTTGTCATGTGATGGGCACTAAGGGTCTTAGTATATTAGTTTTGTATGAAAATGTTTGTCATAAAAAGAAAAGCTTTATGGAAACAGTAAATGTTTGTAGTAGCCTAAACGTGTAAAATGTCATCAGATTTTTCATGATGTTTTAGCTTATAGTAAAAACTGTGATGTAATACCCATTACCATTGTACAATACTAATAAAATAACTCATTTGTTATTTTTATACCAACAGCTATGACTTCAGGAATTTGTACTTGTAAAAATGCTAGTTTAGGAATGTTTTTGCTATATTTCTTGAAAATAAAATTAGAAAATATTTCCTCTTTATAGCTTAATTTCCTCTGTACAACATAAGAATAATCTTTTTCATATCAATAATTATAAAGTTTATGTACATACTTGACTTTTTTTTATTTCATAGAACAAATGGCAATGAAAATATTTAAGTAATGCTTGTAGTATGAAAAATTGTTTGACATGAATAAATTTGTTTGTGTGTATATCAAGATAGTATATGGATACTTGGTTCTTAATAGTTTAGTGAAAATAAGAAGAGCTGAAGAGTAGTAAAAACTACGAAACTTTCTGTAATGAGCAGCTTGTATATAATTACAAATTTAAATTTAAACTTGAGCTATATCAAACACTTGACAAATTCTTTTAGCACTGATATATTTTCTCTGAATATTCTGATATGTATTTGTTAAACTTTATTTACTGCTTAAATCATTCCTTGCTAATGAACAAACATAAATAAGAGCAAAAGATACATCATAGATGTAAAACAGATTTATTCATTTTTTTATTATATAGATAAATTTTGGCATCAAGGCACAAATGGTTTTTAAAACAAGTTTTTAAATAAATACTTTCATGAAGTCAACACGGAAGGGGGTTAACATATTTGAGTTTAAATTATAATACTGAATTCCATATTTTTGCTTCACTGTCTCAAGTTTAAACTGAATACCACAAACATGACAAAATTGTCCATATTAATGTTTCATATATTGTGGATTTTACTTGTAATTGAAGATAGCTAGACAAGTTAACTTCACACAATAAGCTGATAAATTCAACATGTATTAATGGCTAATAAAAACAAAAATATTACAGCCAATTAGTCTACTCAATTGAGAGAATAAATATAAATTTTTAAATGCTCTCATTCTCCAACATGTGACATTTACCTTTATAGAAGAACAAACAAAACTTTAAAGAAGCATCTCTAAACATTTTCCATGATGCCTCAAATTAATTCTAAGGCTTGTACCAATACCTTAATGAACCTGAATTATAACCACAAAAAGACTTTGGAGAAAATGAGCAATGTGGATGTGCAACTTATTAGTGAGCAGAAATAGAGAAAACTGACAATAAACTTCATGCTTCTTAATATACCATCATTTTCACATCTTACATTAAGATGTTGCTCAAGATTCAACAAATACTGCATGCAAAGAAAAAATAGAGTTTCCAAAATGCTCCAGACCCAAGCTCTTCTTTAAATACATAATCAATAGGAGGTATTTTTACCACTTTTTAAAAATGAAAATTTACTAAGTCTAAAGATGAGAAATAATGAAGAAAGATAAACAACTTAACAATAATAGTACAAATAAATATTAAACTTACACAAATATTGCTCAATGTATTGACAATGTTGATTTAACTAGGTAATGCTCAATGTATATGTATATACATTCAAGCTCTTAGAGGAAAGTAACCAGGAAATATGTATTGATGAAACATATCAAACAAAAAATCTTTTAAAATAAGTTATAACTTACATTCCAAAATTGTGTAGTCACAAAATTCTACTGGGTTTGCCATGTCAAATGTTAAAATATTTCTTTACTGAAACTAAAAACATTTCTCAAAGCTATTTCATTATGTTTACTGCCTGCAGAGCTACATTTTCATCATATATTTTAAGCAAGTTCATTACAATCACTCCCAGTCACACCACCATAAATATAATTATAGCGAGTACTCCACAACAAGATTACATAACACAGGCAGGTAAGCCCACCTAAACTGTTTAACACTGCTAAAACAATAAAAACATTGTAAAGACCATTAAACACACCCTCACAAGAAATGTCTTCATAAGTATAAACAATGTGTAGTGGTTGAGTTCCTCTCAAACAAACACAGGCAGAGTGGTTCTCACTGTCTGTGCAAGAGTAGAAATTCTCAAGATAGAGTACCACATGAATGCTATTGAAGGTAGCTGCCACGAAGCACAAAACTACACTCAAGCAGGACGTGAGGTAGCTAATGCCCTGTAAAACAAAGTTCACACTTGAGCAGTGCAGATTATTTTATAATTCTTTACATTTTAGAAAAAAAAAATCCTATTGCTTAAAACTACACAAATGATTTTATTAAACTTTTTTTTTAGATTATGAAAACAGAAAATAAAGAATACCATAAATTAAGTACAATCACGAGGTAGTGGGTTACAGATAATTTTTTTTCAAAATGTCCCAGTCAAGACTGAACATGACTTAAGAATCATTACTGATCTTTGCTGCAATTAAAAAAATTTTAAGTTAACTTATGCCATGTCTATTTAAAACTATTGCACGTCAATTTTTGTGTAATCAGTAACAAACGAGAAATTTGTTCCAAAATTAAAGTTCATTACCTTGCATTAATCTCGGCTATTAATACACAAAAAATCTTATGCTTATATATATATATATAAAATTAACAGTTTCTATGCAGCTTTTATTTTTAACCAATTCTAGTTACATCCTTAGTGAAGTTACCCTACATTGTGGTGAATGTGATGCACTGGCATATAGTGAGAAATTTTTATTTTCTAATATTGATGAACAATAGAAAAATGTTATGAAAAGTGAAATTAATACTTTGTGAAACCACATAGTTACAAAAAATTGGAGAAAAAGACAACTGTATGTTTCACACACATTTCATTTATTATGATAATGGTTTAGCCTAACGATGCTTTTACTGAAAAAAACCATGGTCATAATAAATGAAATACGTGTGAAACATACAATTGTTTTGTTTTCTTTAGTTTTGTCTTAAGAGAACTGTTAGTTTTTATTGTGTTCCTGTCACAGTTTATATTTATTTTAAAATTTCAGTAAATAAATTTTAATGTCTTGTAATATGTATCAACATTTCTCAACATAAATTGAAGATTCTTCTATGCAGTAGTTTATAAAATAGAAGTTACTGATATACTATCAATAGACATCCAGTTAACTGGTCTATATACAGCACTGATTAACACATGGAAGAAAACTAAGAAAGTAAAAACCTAAAGTCATGAATAACCCTGCCATTTAAAAAAATTCTAATTCATCTTAAATGTAGCTATTAAATATTTTAAATTCAAAATTTTAATGTATGCAAGTTTTCTGGAAACATTTTCTTAAGAACGTATAACATAGCAATATCTAGTGAATGTGTAACAGAACAATGAATTAACACCCAATTTTTTTTTTTAACCAGCTTATGTTTTTCTTAGTAGTTTTATAATCATGACAGGTAATTCTTCAATCACATTAATGTTTAATTATTTGTACTTAGTAAATGAAACTTAGTATTATGAAGTATCACCATGTTTTAAACATTACTACTTTAGCCCACAATTTGTGTCACATGTTATCCATCTAACTGTATAAAGACATTTAAGGAATGTTGTAATGAAATACATAATTCTACTTCAAAACAGAGTCTTATCTAACTAGGAACTACAAAATTATTACAAATAGATAAATCATTAATTGTTTTGAGATAATGTTTGCTATGATTTATTTTATTTTAAATATCTATATTTCACAATGTCTTATGCAAACACCTCAAATGAGCAACAATGATTCATAAAACATTTATCACCACCAAGTTTTATGAATACTAAAATAAACTTTAGTCAAAAGAGATATGAACATTATACAAACCTTTATCACAAAAACAGAAGTATTCTCAGAAAAGCTGTTCCGACATCCCAATACAAACAAAACTCCAATACAGCCAGACACAACAAGCTTGAAAAAAAAAGTTTATAAATGTTGTATAAATTATACAAAAAGAATAAACAAAATTTCAATATACAAAGGTTACTTAAACTCTGGCTTTTGGTTTTCCACACATTATGTAAATATAACCTATGTCACTTTTAGTTGCAAAAGTGCACAAATGACATGAAAATAATACATCTAAAATAATTATCTGTTATTTTCTCAAATTACTCCCAAACCCTCACTGCATTAAACTCAAACCTATTAGAAATTATGGTATTGTTACATGTACTGTTTTTCTCATTTCTTAGGAAAATGAATACATTTTTAATCAATATTTTTTGTTTTTTCTTTATTTATTGAAGAATTAAGTACTTTTTGTATAATTTGAATAAAACCAGCTAGTAATTTTTAAAACTTTGATATATAAACATAAATAATATACTTTTGAATCAAAGAAGAAATTTATTTCACAAGTCTAATATTTCAAAATTAATAAAAACTACAGGTATGCAAAATTGTCAGTGTGCCATTTTACATATTTTAAAATTAGGATACCTAAGTGTCCAAGTAAGAAAAGAAATAGTGAAATTAAGTATGGGTTTGGGTAGTATTTCGATTTAATTAAAAAACAACTTATCTACAAGAATGTTGTTTGTTCACTACAATATGTAGTAATATTTTTATATTCAAACAATACTAAATTAAGGAGATCTACTCACAGGCCCAGATGCCCACAGTGGAAGATCTTTGGCTCCAAGAGATGTTGAAAAATCTGATGCTCTGATAGCCAGTACAGTGATAGTTATCCCTAAGATTAGCTGAAGGAAAGTTAGCACAGCAAACACTTTCCAGTATTTCATAGTTTTTACCTATAAAGCATAGACAGTGCAATTTAACATGTATGCTAAAAGGAAACACTGAGTAAGCATTTATTTATTTTTATCAAACCCATTTCCGGTTTTAGACAGTCTTATAAACTTCTCATTAGAGGTTTAATTTATAAAGTATGTAAAAATTATTGATAAGTAACATTTTGTTTTTGTATATTCATTATATATTTATGAAAACTATACCCATGTGGGTTTGTGTGTGTATACATGACTAAGTTTTTATTGCCAAATTATCAATTACACTTATATCAAGTTTTTTTTATCAATGAAATCCACTGTCAGTCTTTTTGAAAAAAAAGAATACAGTGCTCTGTTAAATTAATTTTTGTATTTAATTACTGATACTATTTGATTTTGAGAGTACAGTTACTGTGTAAAAATGTGGGTCATAATTTTACAGAATAGACAAACACGTGCTTGCTCCCTTACATAGTAATGGCTCAAATTATGGAATAAACTATCATGAGCAAATTCTGCTCTTATGTCTTCATTCCAAGTTAATGACACTTGATTTAGAATTAAATTTCTGCTGTTTGGGATTAAAACAAAGATGTAATAATGTACAAAATGAAATCATTTTTCCTTTTATGTTCTTTTGACTCAAGAGTTAAAGCTTGAAATCAGACCAACTCTAATGAGAAAGATCACTACAAAATGCACTTTTACCTGTGTAAAGGGATGATTATCGATTACTCATTGAAGGCGTGTGTTCGTAAGTCTGAACCAAATCACTTAAACACATTCTAGTTCACACTCCAGAGTAAACAAGTCCAAATCCTTAAATCTCATTTCATAATTAACGTTTTTAGACAAGGTATTAATTCAGCAATCCCCCTGTTCCTTTTGTCATATTTGTATCCTAGATGTTTGAAAGTGTAAATTAGAAGAGCTGCTCAAAAGGTATTTTCAGGAGTTTGGAGAAATAAACTGCTAGCACTGTTAACAGGATACAAGGCTTAAATGAATGGGTACACCAAGAGCAACAGACAGACTGGTTGGACCTGTCCCATAGTATTCAGGGTGAGGCAATCCCAGCTCCAGCTTTTATGAACTGGGGGAACTAGTGAGATATATAATGGGATCAAAACTAAAAAATATGTTAATGGATGGCATTATCTTGGGGCAATATTTCAAGAGGGCTTAGCCCTCCCCCTCATCTGCTAGCCCTGAGGTGAGGGTGAATTATATATTTGAGATGGCACCAGTTAAGCAGGTTAGGTAGAAAGATGTTTGGGTAAGCTATAAGTATATTAATTAACAATAGTTTAAACTAAACTTGCATTGTGGTAGGGGAGCTTGAAAAATTGACAAATAAACAAATTAATAGGGTAACAAGGGGTTGGGAAATAAGAGACTTAAAGCAAAAGTTAAATAATAGTTTTACAGATAAGCCTGCCATATTTAAAGATAAATATGGTAGACTAAAGAATAAACAAGTTACTATTATTCTAGTATTAGTGGTATTAACCCATTCACTGCAGCTGGGACATATTTCCCAGTGCAGTGGGAATATACATCCCAGCCAAAGTGATAAGGTTAAGAACAAAATAGGATTACTTCTGGGCTGTAGTTGAAAAGGATATAATGGTAATTATCAAAACTTTGTCAGATTTGGAGAAAACTGGTAAAATAAATGACTTGGAAATTCCAGGTTAAGTTATTTAATAGATACAGACATTTTAAGAGAGGTTTGGGTGGCCTTTATATAAGAGATTAACTACATCCTGTTGGGAATGAAGACAAATGGTAATCAAGAAGTTGAATCTCTATGGGTTACAATCATGGGTAGAAAGTTTTGAACTTCGCTACTCAATCAGACAGATGATGTCCATGAGAAACTTTATGTACAGAGTTCAAGGTTGTTACTGATAAGAATGCTGATGCAATATTTAAGGGAGACTTTAATTTTATATACTTGAATTTGGATTGTATGGAGTTAAATAGTGAGGGAAAGACATTTCTTTAGATAACTCAGAATGGTTTTTAATACAAAATATTCAAAGATCTAGCCAACTATAGACTCTGGGAGGCCCATTTTAGATTTATTATTAACCAGTAATAAGTAAATTGGGTAAGACTTGAAGTGGTAAATTGTGCATGGAAGACTGATAACTGAAAAATTAAATTTAGGAATTATATTTAAAACTATGGATAAACACTATAAGTATAAGAAATTTAAATTGACAGGTTAGAAGATTTACAAAACCACAGGAAAGGTAAAGATATGGTTAAAAAGACATTAGAAAATCGTAACATTAAAACTAACAGCAGGAACCTTTTAAGTATGTCTAAAGTACATAGAATATTAAAATGAGGATTTGACCTTTAAAAAATGATGATGGCAAGGTTTTGTTGAAGATTATGAGATGAATGAGCTTCAAAATGTTTTACTCTTCTCTCTTTTTAAGAGAGAAGACATTAGCAATATTCATAACCCTAAGCATTCTACTGGAATTGATCCAAATCATGTAGATATTAATTATTTTATGTTAAGTAAAAAAAGATTAAAAACAGATAAATTACCAAGAGCAGAAAAAGTTTTACCCATGGTTTTAAAGGATGACAAAAATCAGATATACAAGCCTCTCTCCTTCATTTATGGTACATCATTGGATAATGGGGAAAATCCTAAGCATTGGAGAGATGCTAATGATACTTTCATTCAAGAGTTGCCCTGGAAACTACAGGCTAGAAATTCGTATTTTTATTGTGGGAAAACATACACATTTTAGAAAAAAAAAATCTTTACAAAATCATAGTTAATGACATTGTCTCTTTTATTTATTATAACTGTATATACTAAATTATATTAATGTGATAAATACAACAGAAATTGCAAAGGGGGATATTTTTTACATTAATTTGTAATATCAAATATGGTCACAAGGCCGAGAATAATACTGTTCATATGAAGATTTATTGTGGCACAATCCCTAGCAAGTTGCAGTTTTAAGGGATTAGTGTTTTTACAAAAGTAATATTGTTATAAGTACTAGAGAATAGGATTCGTTAAATATGTTCTTCATTGTTTAATCACTTCACTAAAGTTGCTCCCATCCCTTTATTAAAGGCTTTAATTTTAAAGTTTAACAAGAACCAAGGCTGTGATTTACTTAGCAATAACAGTTACATGATTCTTGACATGTACTACTATTTTATTTATACTATAAATAAAATTATAGTTTAAAATATAAGTTCTGAAATATAGCCTATAAGTATAATTAGTATTAGTATAAATTATAATAGTATTATATAGAAATATCATGTTTAAAACTTTAAGTATAATGCAGTTAATCATGTACGAGATGAAGTAACTATAATTTGTAAACACTTGATTAAAACAGCACTACTACTATTACAATAAAAGTAGGTAATAATTTAAATTATAATGCTTTTTAATATAATATTAATAATACTTATTCACTTGCGTGACTTAGTTGAGATTAGTTAGCGCTGAGCTGCTGAATTTCATCCCTTTGATCATATTGCACATGCGTATGACATAAACGAGATTCAAATAACTACACAAAAATAACTTGACTTCACCCTCCCAGGCCTTCAACACGAAGAAACGATATGTAATACTTAAATCTTTACATTCCACCGTCCTCAGTTTGCTCCATTTAGAGACTTAAGGCTATACATGAAAAATTTATCAAACCAATAACGCTAGGTGTCGCTATGAATTATATGAAGAGTTCGTATCAAAAAGCCCGCCAGTAGCACAACGGTATGTCTGCAGACTTACAACGCTAAAAACCGGGGTTCGATACCCGTGGTGGGCAGAGCACAGATAACCCATTGTGTAGCTTTGTGCATAATTACAAACAAACGAACGTATCAAAAACTAAGGAGGAAATATCGCCATGCTTGGAAATTTTGCGTAATAGATTAAATGGATCATGTAATGGACTTAGAAAAATATTTACATTACACATACTTGTTTGAAAAAGCTTTTTTTTCGATAAATTTTATTATTTTAACAATTTGCCCATCTATTTTATAAATAAACATTCAGAAGAAAAATGGTTTTAGCAAACTCAGCTATACCCACAGTTCTGATTGCTTGGAGTGAATCAGGCCACACGATAAGAAATGTGATAACAAGTTCAGGTGTTAATGTAAGAGTCGGATAGCGGTAAAATATAACAACTGGACTAATCGGGTTGGACCTATAACAATTCCTTTTGCTTGTTTGTTGTTAAGCGCAAAGTTACACAATGGTTTATCTGCGCTCTGCACACCACAGTTATCGAAAACCTATTTTGAGCGTTATAAGTCCTCAGAAGTATTGCTGGGCCACCGGGGAGGAAGAATAACAATTTTAGTGAAGCATACGATGTTTCTTTCCGTTCGTTTGGGTAGAATTGCAAAGCCTGTAGTACTACATTGCGATATGTATGTTGTGTTTGTTATCAGCCGACGTGAAGAGCTCTGGATTGAGCGAAATGTGTCTTCGGCAATGGATATGACAAATATAATGTGGTTGGAATACTGTCATTATACACTCATCTAATTCTTAATAATCCCTAAAGGACTAGGTAAAGAATGTAGTGTTTAAAAATGCAATAGGCTAATACTAATGTCTAATTACTAGTATAATAGTAGTCATTCTTCGCCGGCTTGTAAAAGGCATAGACATCACAACAATTGTTGTTGTGTCAAATGACTTATATAAATAGTGTTCCAACCACTGCTGTATTTGTTGTATCCCAGCTGGCCTGAAGTGCTCTGGAACGAGAGAAACGCGTTGTTGGTGATGGATATGGCAAACATACAATGGTTGAAATACTGTTATACACCTTTTTTTTTTTTTAAAAAAACCCTAAAGGACGGAATTAAGAGTATATAGCGTTTAACAACACAGTAAACGTAATACACTACACTATTGGCTTATGACAAATGTAATTGATTATTATCATGTTTCACCAGCAAAAGAAGTTCATTGTAGTATTTTCCAGTGCACACATTTCCTGCAGAGCAATATGTAGGGTCTCCTTAACTGGAAATCAGACGAATATTACGTTGCAGAGTATTTTTTATAAGACCCAGAATCTCGGACACTTTCCTATAGTTGCCTGTTCTTAATCAGCTGACTATTCTCTGACTTCATTTTAAGCTTGTGTTTTATTTTTACTTTTAAGCCCAGTGAATCATAGTTTGAATAGCAGCAAAGAGAGTGTCATCCACAGCTGACTAATTGAAAACAAAGATAGCCAGAAGAAATAAGAATTTGCTCTTAAATAGTAAAAGTCAGGATTGAAAATGCAAGTTCAAAAGAACTACAATTGTCCAGAAAAATTTGGTCAAAAGTATGGGTTAAAAGTTGCAATGGCTCAGTTACAAAAAATGCTCTGCCTTAAAAGTTCCTGATAATATCCTGAGCTCCGGGCAAAAGAAGGCTTTGGATCCCTTCAATAAAAACATCTATTAACTTTGAATTTTATTGATGATGTCACAGTTTGAATAACATAAAACTATAACAGCCATTTGAATATATATAAAAATGAAACTGAATATATATTAATATTAACCTCTGTATCACGTGTTAATAATGTTATAGTTACACGACCAAAACATTATTTGTCTTTGGCAATTCAAAAAACGAAATTTTTAGTAGTTCCATCAACCAATATTCTACATGATAAGCACTGAACCAAGTTTAGTTGATGTCATGTGAACATTGTCTATAGTTTTATCTTTGTGAAGCTTCAGATGAAATGCAGTTTCCTTTTAGATGGCTATGAGCATCAATGCTTCTAAGTTTAGTTGTGAGAGTGAGGATCTGAGCCTTGTCTTCAAAATTTTCAGCTTTGAAAAACATCTTTTACATGAACACTGGATGATGATAAAAGTTATAAGATACTTGTATGCTATATTACAGACAAATGTTCATAGTCTTCTGAACATAGTGTGTATTGAAAAAACAACTTGAATGCACAAGATAAACAGTTCTTGCAATAACTTAATATTACAACAGGTTTTGTAGCTGAATTTTCTGCAGTTTCGTCATATTCATCATCTGAGTCAATTTCGTCTGCTCCTTCTTCGTCGTCACTATCAACATCCAGCAGCCCTTTCCAAAGTAGTTTATAGCTTCAAAAGATAGCTCCTGGTATAACGACACAGTGTCAATTTTAGGAGTTGACTCAGATACGATTTTCAGATTGATCTTCTTGGGGGCTACCTGAACTTTATCAAATCTGTTTGGGGCAAAACATGAAATTTGCCGGTAAAGCTCCCCGTGTGAAGCATACTTTCTGCTCATACTCTCCAAACCAATATCAAGAACAACATTGTAATATGAAATTTCAAACTTCTTTTGATCTCTCATCACCTCAATTCAGGAGTCACTTTGTTGAACAGATGTCTGGAAAGCTTTTATTGACAACAATACTTTCCAGAGCCAATCTCTCTTTCAAGTGATTAGTGAATGTAATTGTTGTTTTGTGGATGCCAGCAGAATCTCGAGAAATTTCCCTAAGTCGAGTAGTAACGTCATTTGTCACGCTTTCATAAAGTATAGACCAGTTGACTGCAAATAAACTGATACAGAGGTGTAATATCAAATACTTGAATGTATGAAAATGTTACTAAGATTGTTTCTAACTTTCACAGTTTTTCACTCAGTTGTTTTGCCTCGTAACGCACCGAAACTCGAAACTCGGCCAATTCACTGACTTGTTTGAGAATGACAAGATTTGAACAAAATTCCTTTGGCTGCTTTCCATAACTTCCAAACAATTTTCGAAGTGCTCTAGTTCTACTTGAATACCTGGTTTGATGGATGTACTCTAAGTTGCGAAGTTTTACATGCTCCATCTCGGCTTTTATCTGCTCTTCCGGATTTTCGTTCTTAAGTAAGATTCTTTGAAAAAGGCAGAGAGCTTGTTTAAAAGGCTGAAGAGATTTACTGCCAGTACACATATACTGCTTCCATCGCCAATTACTAAACTAAGAATATGTTTATAGCACCAAGTGTGAATGTAGCTAGGGTGAACTTATTTCAACAGTGCTTATAAACCATTGTATACACCATTCATATTAGCAGTTCCATTAAATGTTCCCAATGCATTGTTACAGTTTTAATTCCACATCTTATAGTGATTCATTCTGCAATGAATGCAAGCTATCTCCATTGGAATCATCAACGTTGACAATATGCAATAATCTCTCTTTGGCTTTGTCACAAACAACATATCTCACAACAATCACACACTGATTGTGAGTCGAGATGTCTTGGGTGGAGTCCATTTGTATTGAAAAAAAACAGTATCTTTAAATTTTTTCCACAATTCTTTCTTTAACCATGTCCTCAATTATGACATGTTAACTATATTTGTCACAGTTGTTTTACTTAGGAAAGTTATAACTTCTCTCCCATCTTCTACTCAATAGATTACAATTTTTCCTATTTCCATCACTTTTTACAAATGCTCTTGCAGTACTGTATTGTAGATTGTGAGAAGATTTACAGCTTCCTAAAAATTTCCGCGATTATCTAGGTTTTCTTCATCAAATACAGTTGCCACAGCTTTTGTATGCTTGCTTTGGAATGGAAGAATTTGAAATCCAATGAATAACACAATATCAATGATACAGCTTAAGAAAACACACTGATGAAGCACTTGCTTATTTCTAACAAAAAGTTGCTCACATGAAAGTTATGTTTAAGAGACTTGTCATTGGTGTTGATAAAATACACCTCACTAGAAAATTTATGGCATTGCAAATTCTTTTGCTCAAGCAGCCTCATCGTGATATGTCTACAGTCTGAATAAATGTTGATCGTTTGGGACTTGTAATACTTTTCAGGGGCATAGATCAATCAGAAAGAACAGTGTAAAGTAATCTTTTCGTCATTATATGTTATCCGTTTTCAGTTAATATCTGCCCCTTGTATACTTCCCAGTAGTACACCACTTTACTGTTAAATAGAACATTATTTGTAGGTTGGTTTGGGTGAAATGCCTAGAACATATCCTCTGGAATTCCGGTATTGTTTGACGCATGCTGCTGAAGAACAAATTTATTTCTTGAAGGTGGTTTTCCTTGTGCATATGGCTCAATCTCTTATCCCCTACGAAACTTAGACGGTGGTTCATGTAACAGCCTTTCTAGCTTGGCCATTTGTTGGGGTTCGGCATTGTTTGTGATTGTGCTTCAAGAGTTGCAACTTCTGCTTATGTCGCTGTCTCATCTTCGAGGTGGAGTGTCCAATTTGTTAGTGGTGGATATGTCCTGTTGAAAAAATTATAATTTGTTTTCACAGGTTCTTCTTCTTTCTTTTTTTTTGCAGTTATTCGTTTTTCTCTCCTTTTTTCCATACAACTTTTATATTTGTATTTTCCCATGGCTGTTAACATCTTAGGTACACTGAATCATAAACCCTTAAATAACGTGATGAATAGACTGTTGACGTACAAGCAGAGATACATCATAGCAACAAAATGTACAAGGCACAAACAAACATTGGGCTCATATTTTGTTATTTTAAGGTTGCCCAAGTGCATAGAACTCAAACACAGAGTATGATACATGGACACTACACACTATATTAAGGAAAATATAAAACAATGGTAGGGCACACAGACTCACACCTCCTTCTCTCTCTCTTTCTTACTCTCTAA